TAATGCTATCATTGAGACTGGAAACACCGGGGCTACCTTCCAGTTTGGTAGCATTGACTTTCCTGCCGATGTTGCAAGAACTGTCGGAGCTCCTGCTGGTCATGTGCATCTGCCGGCACAATGACCTGTTACTGAATATCATCGTGGAAGGATTTTTGTATTCGAGAAGCTATCACAGCCTGACATCCCAGCCACCAAGAGGATTGTAGCTGATGGAAGAATCTCCGTGGTGACTGCAAACACCACTACTCTGTCAACCAGGTTATCTGCACCTGGGAAATACGATGCTGCGGCCTCCTCATCTGGAGGAAGGCCTACAAGGAGGTAAAGAAGGAAGATGAATGCTGAGATCCGAGCTCAGCATCAACAACTCCCAGTCCACCCATCAAATATGCCGGCCCAAGAGTCTGAAGCTAACATTCCAACCCGGAATGGGTTTGCAAATCTGAAGTGGGTCAAAAAAATAGCTCTATTGGAGAGCTAAAGAAATCTTTCAAGGATCGACGGCCTGAAGCTCCAATCCCTTCAAGGAATAAAGAGCCTGAAACTATTTCAGCCCGGGTATACAGAGTACTGAAGACAGTAAAGGAGAAGGGATTGAATAAAAGAAGATACCAACGACCACTGATGGTCGAAGCCAGAAGGACTCCACCAAGAGAAGGCTTATCTGTTGCGGTGGAGAGGAAAGAAAGGAAGTATATTCTACGCGGTGAACATCGGGGCGTGACACCTGAACCATATGTTCAGGGATCCGCTGCTGAAAGGTCCCGATGGAAGGGAAAACAAATCTGGAGGCCAAAGCCTCTAAGAAATGAGAAAGATAGAAGAGAAAGGAGGATTGATCTGAGTGTGACATCCGGTGAAGCTTCCCGGAGATCCGCCCACATCTACGAACAACGTCAGAAGTGGGCCCCAAAAAGGACCCATAATGACATTCCTCCAAATGGTAGACACCTTGGAGAATCCTCCACGGGATCCCGTCGCCCTCCATCCCCTCCAAAGAAAGAGACTAACTTCGATTGCAGCCCAATGATCGAAGAAGTCCCCGTGCCTAATCAGGAACCGGAATTCCAATGGCGTTGTCGCTCGGAGATCCAAATATTAGAAAAAAATATAGATGATCAAAATATAGAAGAGGAAGAATACCTCGAAAGGGATGAAAACTTTGAAGAAAATCTAGAAGAAGAAATGAAAGAAATAAATAACACATTGGACATGGACGTGGTCTACATGGTGAGACACACCAACACTAATGAGGAAGCCTATTATGATGATGGTGAAGATGACGACGACCAACAACCGCCGATTAGGCGAGTTTATCACCATCGTCGTGAAGCTAGGTCCACCACTAGCAGAGG